GTAGCAATATTTGATACAGGACTAGCAGCTAGTCATCCACATTTTAAAAAAATCAAAGAACGTTCAAATTGGACTAATGAAAAGACATTAGAAGATGGATTAGGTCATGGAACATTTGTAGCTGGAGTAATTGCATCTTCTTGTATAGATTGTCTTGGTTTTGCACCAGATGCTGAACTTCATATTTTTCGCGTTTTTACCAATACTCAGGTACATTTAAAATTATGTTTCATATATCCGTTTTTTTACCTACTTTCAAAACATTGAGCATCTTTCAATTTTCTACAGGTATCATATACATCATGGTTCTTGGATGCATTCAATTATGCTATTCTTACAAAAGTTACAGTATTGAATCTTAGTATTGGAGGACCAGACTTTATGGATCACCCATTTGTTGATAAAGTATGGGAATTAACAGCAAATGGTGTAATTATGGTTTCTGCAATTGGTAATGATGGACCTTTATATGGGTAATGAACTTAATATTTTCCTTATGTTATTTTCTTTTATTTTATACTGTGTAAATACATTTATTTTATTTAATGTAGCACTTTAAATAATCCTGCGGATCAGATGGATGTCATTGGAGTAGGTGGAATTAATTGGGAGGATCAAATAGCAAGATTTTCATCACGTGGCATGACAACATGGGAACTACCATCTGGATATGGAAGAGTAAAACCCGATTTAGTTACATATGGATCAGGAGTACGAGGTTCTGCATTACAAGCAGGTTGCAGAACTTTATCTGGAACTTCTGTTGCTAGTCCTGTTGTTGCTGGAGCTGTAGCACTCTTAGCTAGTGGATTTGTGCAACTAGACGGATCTCAGTCTGTTAAACAAAAGGTAATTATATTTCAAACTCATTATTTTACACATTTATCTTCCTTACATATTCGAAATAAACTTACTAAAATTATATTAACGAATAAAAGGTTAATTTAAAAATTGTTCTTTAAGGTAACTCCTGCAAGTATGAAACAAGCATTACTTGGTTCTGCACGTCGTTTACCTGGAGTTGGAATGTTTGAACAAGGTGCTGGAAAATTAGATCTTTTACGGTGTAATTTTATTATTATATTATCTATAAGAATATATAAATTATGATAAACTATCAGTTACATAGACCTAACTGAATGTCAGTATATGTGGCCGTACTGTACACAAGCTGTATATCATACTGGTATGCCTACAATTGTAAATATAACTATAATAAATGGCTTGGGAGTATCTGGACATGTAGCAGAACTTGTATGGCATCCATATACCGGTAATGGTAACGGTGAACGAATCGATGTGTCAGTAACTTATAGTGATGTTCTTTGGCCGTGGTCAGGATGGTTAGCAGTTGCTATAACAGTTCCATCATCTGCTCGAGATTGGCAAGGCATAGCACATGGTTGAAATTAATTTATTTACTTTTACTTATAATTCCAATATATTAGAAAATATCATATGAAATTTTATATATAGGTCATATATCTGTTACAATTGAATCACCACCGAGTGATGGAGAAGAAAAATTAAGACAATCTAAAATAGAACTTCCTTTAAAAGCAAAAGTTATCCCTACACCTCCACGTCAGTGAGTAAAAAAAGATAAATATTTAAGAAAAGTGTATCTTATAATTAAAATTAAGTGGTATTATTCATTTAATAGTAAACGTATTCTATGGGATCAATATCATAATTTACGTTATCCTCCGGGATATTTTCCACGTGACGATTTGCGTGCAAAAAATGATCCTCTTGATTGGAACGGTGATCATATACATACTAATTTTAAAGACATGTATCAACATTTACGTAATGCTGGTTACTATTTAGAAGTACTTGGTGCTCCTTTCACTTGCTTTAATGCCAAAAACTACGGTACTTTACTTATTGTGGATAGTGAAGAAGAATTTTTTCCTGAAGAGGTATTACATATACTGCACTGTGTTCAGTAATAAGATTTCAAGAAATATTTATTTAATAGAAAATTTAAAATAACCTCTGTTTCAGGTGGCTAAATTAAGGAGAGATGTAGAAGAAGAAGGTCTCTCTGTAGTTGTATTTGCAGATTGGTACAATGTTACTGTTATGAGGAAAGTAAAATTTTATGATGAAAATACACGACAGTGGTGGATACCAGATACAGGAGGTGCAAATGTACCAGCTTTAAACGATTTATTATATCCTAATTGGGGTATAGCATTTGGAGACCAAGTACGCAATGGTCAATTTACTCTTGGTCAACATCCACCTGTAACCTTTGCTTCTGGTACTACAATTACTCGGTATATAACTTCATAACATAATTGTTTATATTAGTTTTTATTAGCTTTCTTAATAACGTAAAATATATCGTCTCATTAATTAAGGTTTCCAAAGGATGGGGTTATTCTATATGCGGAATTACACGATCAAGGACAAGAACTTTTACTTGAATCAGAATCAAGATCTACACTAGCCGTACCGATTCTTGGACTTTTCCAAACGAGTGGTAATAAAGGAATTAACGAAATGTATAACGATAACTACATTAACAACATGATAGTGGAAAAAGAGAACATAGAAAAAAATAATGTAAAAGATCAAGCAAATATCGTATCAGGAAGAATTGTAGTGTATGGGGACTCAAATTGTATCGATGATAGCCATTTACAAAAACGTATGTTTCACACATGTTACCTGAATAATTATATTGTTTTTTATTCTTAAATACAAATGAAAGCATACAACTTTATTTTTAGCTTGTTTTTGGATGCTTGATGCTATATTAGAATATACAACAACAGGACATATTGCAACTGTTTTTAAAGACGAAAGTCAAACTAAGACAAAAGTTCTTAAAAAGTCGAGTGTTTTAGACACTAATGAATTACCACAACGTATGGAAGGAAGTCACTTAAGACGTCATAGTAAAGTATTACTGCCTGAAAATACTAATGCTGATCATATTAGACCACTTCCATCTTGTCCTACAATTACTCCTGCTACTCCAAAACCTTTGAATGAATCGGTCCCTATGTAAGTTATTATACTATATGTCCATTAAATTTTATTTAATTAATCAGTTCTTTATGCTTATATAATCCATAAATTTAATCATATTTCAGAAATCTTTATAAACCTCAAAAATTGCTGTCTGTTGGAGACACAATAGTTGCAGTAAATCCAGTTTTACAAGATTCAAGTCCATTATGGCTTAGAAGACGCGTTGGAGGTGCAAATATTCCTACATTACACCACGAAAAGCAAAATAATGTTGATGAATTAAAACAGAATGATCAAGATAGTAGTGAAATATTTACAAGTAAGTGGAGTTATATGGCAGGAATAATAATTGTAGGAAGTATTTTTCTCTATTTATTAAATCGATGGAATTGCTTAATAACAAAAAGGCATTCTCGAAGAAAACGAACAGTTGGTAGATTACGCAGAGTTATTCAAACAATTTCTCTACGCAAAGTGCCTCAAATGTGACTGTAAATTTGATAAACCTTCAATTTATGCAAGATAATATTCAATTATCTGTGGTAAACGCTTAAAGAATATAACAAATTACATTATATGTCTTTAAATATATGG